TAGGTGTAGCAGGAAGAGTAAAATATTTTGCAAGAGGAAGCTAAACTGTAAATAAATAAAACTGACTATTCATAGCAAGTAGGAGTAGGAGGGGTTTTAAAAGCTAGTATGATATGGTTTTAATATAGAAAAGCTAGGTAGAGTGGGTTTTAATATAGAAGAGTTACTAGATAGCATGTTGCCAAATGACTCGCAAACCAGTAGAGTAAGTACACCACCACACACAGATTTTATGTGGTACACAGGCTTGAAGTCTGTGCTTTAGATGAATCTATAATGAATACTGATTTAGATGTCATAAAAATCCAAACCCACAAGTTCAGTCATAGGTACAGTACAATGGAGAAATGAAAAAGAGATGAAAAGTCAGCATATGATGTGGCACAGCCAAGGGAGGATGTGGGCCTGTAAGTCATGGGAATATTTGTGCATCTGGTCAGCCTGGGAAAGATTAAAATCCTAGAATCCCTTCCAACCCAACTGGTTTGGATTGGAAGGGACCTTAAAGCTATATCTAGTTGCAACCCCCTGTCACAGGCAGGGACACTTTCCATTAGACCAGGTTGCTCCAAGCCCCGTCCAACCTGGCCTTGAACACTGCCAGGGATGGGGCATAGTAGATAACTAAGTGTTAGGTACCAGGTCTAGGCTCATCACCATCTGCTACTTCTAGTCTGTGGCTGTGTAATTTTCTGAGTATTGCTATTAGATCTGCTTTAAACCAGGCAAAAATACAGCATTATGAGCTGTGCTGGTTTTGGCTGGGATACAGTTGATTTTAAATTACGTGGTTTTCTGCATTGACTGGTGACTTGTTCACCTGTAGCAAAGCCAACAGAACCAGCTTACAAGTGGTGGGCTGTAAGTAGCAGCGCTGGTTTGAGTTGCAGGGTTTGTTGCAGGGAGGAGGGTTTTTCAGCATCTGTAAATGTTTTGTCTGGCATAGGTGCTGCATTCATCTGAGTGATTTATTCAGTGTAAGGAACTGGAAATTCTTTCTGGCTTAATGTTTAAGATTTTTATTCCGTCTTCACAGATGAATTGGTTTCTTGGGAATTTTTCTCTAAGAGGGGATTTGGGGTTTGCATATCTCAAAACCCAAGAGAGCAGGGAAGTGAAAAGGCTGTGGGTTCAGCTCTGTAAGCACAGGCATTCCCGGGGACTTGCTAAAATACAGCCAGAGCCCTGTATTTTCAGCATTCAGACTCACCCATGCAGAATTACCCTTTGCAACCAAAGCTTTCTAATCCTTTCAGATAAATGCTGTTTGTGTCTTACCTAATTTTTCTGTTGCATAGTGTGACATCCTTCTGTGTTGTTCGTTGTTGCATTTTTTACTTCATCTCTGCTTTTAAAGCATAAAACCATGACAAAATTTGCTGTCCGATGGATGAGGACAGTGTACAACTCCAAATCCGGATGTTCCCTGGGAGTAGTATTCCCTGGGAGAGCTGTAAACTGTAAATGTGAGGTTTGTACCTGAGAGACACTGCCTCTAAATGAGAACAACTGGTGGTAAGGGCAGTTTAGTAAAGTCAAGTAATTACCTGATAAACAAAGCCCTTATGGAAGTGTACAATGATTATATAGTCCCTTCTGATTCCTAAACCCTTACCATAAATGCATTAAATGTGACAGATCTTACTTTGCTGTCATGATCTTAAAAAGCAGTCATTGCTCAACTGCCTGATGGGATTTCATTCTGGGCCTTACGTAAACTTCTGAAAAAACACCCAAGTGCCTGGTTTTCTAAGGTGCAAGATATCTTAGGATAGGTAAGTACCTATTAGCAGCTTTCTGTACAGGAAGTTAGGTGCCCAAAATCATTTACTAACTTAAGGCAAAAAAAAAATCTTCATTCGTTTGATACTTGGCTATTTTCTTAGGTCATTTTCCATTTCCTGATTTCTGTATTAATCCCAATGTATGAACATTTAAATTATTCAGGAGTAACATTTACTGCATCTTTTCATGAGCATGCTTTTTCAAACATAGTCATCAAATCATCTGTAAAGTGTTTTGGTCTGATGGCTCAAGAAGACTGAAAAAATAAACTATTTGCGGTTATGGAGAGGGTCAGAATTAGCTGGATGCACTGTGTTTGGAGCAAATGGGAAAAAATATGTTGGATTTCCTGGGTATGTGCTCTGATTCAGCAGACTGGTGGAGGGCAAGGCTGAAATAATTATTTTATCTCCTTTGTCACCAAAAACTGTGGGGGAAAAAAGCAAGCTGTGCCTGCTGCAGTTCAGAGGCCAGTCCTTGTGATGTAGTGAAATGGAAAATCTTGCGTTACTGTTTGCCATACTGTAGCTGTGGATGAAAAGAAAACTTGAGCCTTTAGGACTGGCAATAACACCACTTTTATTAAGTTTCTATTGAAGGACTATTTTGAGTAAGATAAATTGATGGGCTGAGCACAATAACGTTCAGTATCTCACTTTCAAATACGTAGTATGCAAGCACTACTGAATTAGAGAAGAAATTGAGCTAAGAGGCAGGAAAAAGGTTACTTGGCAACATCATAGTGTTTGTAAAGAGGAGAAGGAAGGGTCAGGAACTTAATGAATCTTGATTATAGAATTTTCTGTAAGTCAGTCATTGGATGAATAGAAAACTCCTAAACTGGATTTTGGTATTATACTGTAGTAGGGATTGCCTAAAGTAAAACAGGGTTTGTCTGGAAAAAACTGCAGAGAATAGCAAAAGCATAGCTGCTGCGTACAAACAAAATTGGGCTTCCCAGAGGCAGGCAGTGCTGCTCCCAGCTGAGGCAGAGACGAGCTGAACAAGGTATGTGATGAGAGCTGGTGTTCATTTTTTTGTGGTTTTTTTGTGTCTTTGTGTAAATGTACTTGGAAGTCTGGAAATGATTGGGAGAGACCCCCGTGTTTACTCTGTTTCGGCTTACCGTCAGTGTCTTGGAGGAAGACACCAGATAGAAAAGCATTGTGGCCTATAATGATAGTTCTGCTCAGCTTGCCAGCATGATTTCAATGGGTAAATGAATTTTCCTCTGTAATAATAACCTTATTAATTTCTGACCCTTGCAGAGAGGAACCCATTGATTGTCAGAGTTGTAGTGGCAACCGGTTGTATGGCTCAAGTAGTCGTACCTGCTGCTTTGGGTGGAATAGGAGGTGCAGTGCCAAAACGAGTTACCTACCAAACTCCCCCTTCCCATCCAGTACAGCCTGCAGTAAAATGTTCTTGTAGAGCCTTAATTTTGTAAATTAATTCACTGGATCATGGCAACCAAATGTGGTACATTTATGGTAAATACACTTTGATTGGAAATACTAATTGCGGCACCTAGGCGAATGCCGTCTAACACCCCTTGCTCCCATGATAAGATTTTAGCTGTTAGTAATCATTCTACCAAACATAAAAGACTCAGTAAAATCTTATTCAGTGTGTTCACATGGAAGTTTTTTTTCCGCTGGAGACCAGTACGTATCCAGATGGAGTTTGATTTTTTGAACCACTACAAAGTGCTGAGTATATAAGCTGAATTGCTCCCTGGAGGATGTTTTGGGTTTTCTCACCTATGTGGGGGGCTTAAGTTATAGATGCTGGTGGAAGTTTTCGCACAGTTCAGTGTGTAGTAAATACTAAATAATAATTTAGTTTACTAAAAATAGTAAATACTGTTCAAGTAAATAAAGGAGTACTTCAACATCTCATTACAACTATGGGGATTTAAGAAAACCATTTGCAGTGGTGTGTGCTAGTTACTTGGTTTCTCTTTTCAGTGTGGAGAGCAAAACTAATAAAACCTGTTTCATTTTCTTTCCACTTTCAAGAACCAACTTTTTAATGCCTGTTGTGCCAGTTTGTCCCAGTAACTCTTAGAAGAGCATTATTTTAGGTGTTTTAAAGCACTTCGAGCTTGGTTTCACAGCTCTCATGATTTGGGACATAGGTGGACTGTTATTCTGACCCTAAATATCTCAAAATTTCTAGGTGAAGCTAAGCTCTAACCATGATCAAAGTGGCATATCAGCGGAATGGGTTGAAGTTTTGTGGAGCTGGGATGAGGTTTTCTGTGGTGTTAATCCAGATACTGTGCTATTCAAATGACGGTAACTCTGCAGAGAAATAATTGCTATTCCAAAGTAGGCAGTGGGTTGGCTTTTGTATTTTAAGTTATTCTGTTAAAAATTACAATGTCTAACCACTAAGTATGCATAAAGCTCTTCTATTTTGTTTTTCTCTGTACTGCATATATTTAATAAAACCCCAGAACCAGAATACCTCAAAACGAAACTTCTGGTTTGTGTAGTTGATAAGATCAAATTAACTACTGTAGCTTGGAAATTGCCAGTGGAAATGAATTTTTAACATCATTTGCTGTACGAAAAGAAAAGTTTACTCTGTGATTGCTTAGTCTTTACCACATCAGTTCCTGACTTTGTAGATTTTGGGAATACGAGCTCAGAATTTTGTCTGAGGGTAAGAAGTTATCACTAGACTCAGTTCCGCAATTTCTGGGCTTCATCAAAGCACTCCTGAATATACCTGAG